GTTCCATTGCAGATGTATCGTTGTGCCCTTCCCTTTGGTCCCTGGCTTCGTTAATACCTTTTCGTGACGCCTGGCTCTGGATTCATGATAAACATTTTCTGTTTTGTTTACTTTTCCTTGAAAATTGGAGAAGTATATCGATATTCTCTCTCGGTCAAAAAATCGGTTCGATGTCTGCTCACTGGTAATTCAACATATATTTCATTTCATATGTATTCGTTTTATATTTCAGGCCAGTTTATTCGAGAAATAGAAAACTTTTAACACATTTTAATGCAATAAAAATTTTTGGTCGGAGTCCTCTTTTAAGTTACGTTATAAAAATCAGCTCCTCCATAATAGTTTTGGGACAGCTTGTTGCCAGACATAATCCGTTTGATTTTCATGGAATCTCCAAACATATCAGTGCACATGTCGATGAAAAGACTATAAAGATACTTTTTTTCAAATTTCGAATACTGTTGTGTACTTTAATGGAACACCAGTTCCGAAAGCATTGTTTCCTTGGTTAGTCGTTTGCAAGAAGCCAATTTCGTTACAACACAACCACATCCATCCACGAGCAGCCGCTAAACTTGTTCTGTTTCACACCCGATATGCCAAAGATCTTACCTCCGCCTTCCCCAAGAACTGTTAAATTTCCGCTTCCCACTTGAGCGATAACATCCCAATAGCTATTTGGCATAACTGAGAGATCAGGTCCAGCTGGTTCCATTTGGTTGAACCATAAGAACAGATTTTCAACTCGCTTAACAGTATTAGGCTCAGTGGCGTTAGTCATTATTTGACACATTTTTCTGACAGTTTTATCGGAATGCGTGCTGTTGCTCTGAAACTTTTTTGATTGAGAAAACTAATAGTGGTATCTCTTACCTGTCCGTCATAAGTATACTGAGTCATTCCTTGGAATGTGTTGAAGAGGTTACCGAAGAAATTATTGATATCGAGTTTTGTTGTTTTCGCATCAAAGGGTGGTTGGAGGCTGAACATTTCGTAATGAGTAATTTGAACATGAAAAAAAGTCAGGTACTTGAAATATGTATTCAACGAATTTCTCCCTTCGGCCGTCAATGACATTTGTTGAATCTTAGTGAACGCATCGCGAACAGCAGGTGCGCACTGGGGATCAGTCAACTTCAAATCATCCTCAACGACCATTGCGTACTCTGAATATTTTATGTTCACTACAAAGTAAACCTCACTTGCCATAGAAATCAAGCTTCAAGTTAACTGGAGCACTACTCGCCACGGATCCGACTGTCAGTTCTGGATATTTTTGTCTGAACCAAGCGGACAATGATCCTGGATAGCTGCCTCCAAAAGTTACCCAACGAGGATTTTTGAAACCGTATTTCTGGTTCATTGACTCAATGAAGTATGCCAAATCTGCTAAAGCTTGTTGAGTAGTAAGATACTGCAGGGAGCTGGTTTCCATGTCTCTTAAATTTTTTAATGATTTTAGCTACAATTTTCGCAAAAGTACGAGATTGGCCAACTGTCACCGAAAAATCTATGCTCCAAGTCGAAAACATCAGCTCCAAACTCGGAGGCCCATTGGAGATATTGAACTTCTGGTTTTGCGGCCCAACGACCGTTCTCTGGACCTTCTCCACCAATCATAAGAAAAATGATTGAGTTGTTTCTTGAGTATTTTGGGTTGTAGAAGTATTTCTGAATATCAATATTTTTTGTAAGTTTCAGAATAGTTCTTGGAAAATACCTGGTTCCATGTTTTAGTGTTGTACCTGTCAAAATGGTCTAACTTCTGGGTGAAATTATGAACTTGAAGGTATGGGTAGTCATCGAAGACACTTGCGCCATCAGTAACAAGATGTCTGTTCAAATGATGGCTAAAGAAAATACATATTCTGAGAGACGAAACTGTAACATACTTCAAAACAGTCTGGCCATTGATTTTACCCAGGAAAAAAGGTGGTAACTTGGAATCTACCGCTAGCGGAACAAGCAAGAGAAGAAACGCCAGCAACATTCTGAAAGTCGAAAAAAATTGGGTAAGGGAAAAACTAATAAGAAGAAAAAAGTGAAAATGCTCACTTTATCAACGATGCGTGATTACAAAATTGCTATCGTTATCATGTTTTATGTTTGACTAGTCGCAGATTCGTTTTCAGTCTCTTTAAAGTCATCATCGTTTTGGGAGAATAGTATGTGAAGCGTTTATATTAGAAAAAATGATTTCGAAACTTGGAAATATGGTTTTTGGAATTTTCCGAAACAAGAACAGTTCAAAAAGTGTATGTTGGAAAAACAGATTTGTAACTATCAAAATGAAAATACTCAAGAAATTATAATTCGATAAAAACTGAAAGCTCGAGTTTGCGGGGGGAGAAAACATAGTATATTTTTTGGTGAATGTGGTATAAAAAGCTATTAAGAAAAATAAATTTTAAATTCTGAAACCTTTCTAGTTGCAGAAAAAATCGACTCTGAAAATCGTTGTTTTTGTACTGAAAACGAGATGTTTGGTACTGAAACTAATATGATTCGGCTGAAGCTGCCGTGCGGATTCTAAAGGTTTTAGGGGTTTCTAGATAGGCTATCATTTACTCATCCTGAAAATTTCATCAAAATCTGAGGTGAGGTGTTTTGGTTCCTTTGTAATTGTGGTTTTGTAAATGGTCCGGAGAGCCGAGATATTTGTGCTCCAAAATCGAGCAATAATTCGTGTAAATTTTGCTTTCTATCTTTCAATGAGCTTGTTTACCCTCTTCTGTTTTCAGTTTTAGTCAGAGATGTTTTATATGAAGAAATCGAGAAAAGTGTTCTTCATATAAAGCCTACAGATTTATAACACTGAAGGCAATAAAATTTTCCAAATATCACATTTTTTCGATTGAATTGATAGTTTTTGACAAAGTGGGATGGTATACAACCAGCTCTCAATGCCGTTTCTGTCATTCTGTTTTCTGTTGCATTCGAATATACGTTTTTATAAAGAAATATGTATCTGAAAATGCTTTTAAAAATTTTGGTTGCAATTTGGGGATGACGTAACATCTTTTAGTATTAATTCTATTTCTGAAATGGATTTATTTCTGTCAAATTATTTTCTTTTGAATTTTATTAGGAATAATTTCAATTTGAGATATTTCTAGTAAAATCTAACTTCTAAAGAATATTGAATTTGTGAAATCGTAAAATTGAGATGCAGAAACTTCAAAAAATTCCGCTTCTTTCTGTCTTTTAATATTCTTTCTCGGAAGTTGCCTGTTCGGGAGGAAAAATAGCAAAAATCCACGAAAAAAAATCTCCTCTGAAAACAAAAATTATATGGATCCTCTCAAAATCCCCTTGAATGCTATCCACAAACACCGCTGTTCTATTTCAACACCGCCGCGCACTCAAAGACACATACACAGAAACACACCAGTTGCCCTTCTTCTTCCACCGTAAGGTCTATTCATTACTAGCGTGTACACTCGCCTGTCTCACCTTCCTCCCACTGTCCGCTCTATTCTTCCCGCGGTTTGGTTCATATTGCGGGTATCCATTCAAATGACCTAGCCTTCCGCTCTCCTCTCAATCTCTAGCCTTCGACCCAGCACCGGACTGTGCGCGCGCACACAAAAAGGGAGTTCAGTGTCTGTCGTCTCCTCTCTCTTCATTATTCCTCCCTTTTGCTCTGTTTCTCTGTTTTCCCTCGCGGGCCCTTCCCGTTCACCGGTGTTCTCTCTCTCTCTCTCATTATCTACTCTTTTAAGATAGATTTTCTCACTTTATCCCACTTGAACTTATTGAAACATACTTTTTTTTCAGCTGGTTCACTCAAAATTGGGAAATTATGAATAGCATTCTACGGTACATCCGATCGAAATTCACACACGAGCCAGAGCAGCATGCCATTGAACAGTTTGCAGTCTTTGATGAGGTGCGTTTGTAAGAAAACCAATGAAAACATGATTTTTCAATGTTTTTTTCCTGTTTCAACAGCTGGAAAATGTTAATGTCTTCTGAAAACTGTCAGTTGTTTTGAAAAAAAAGACAAACATGGAAATTTTCAAGAGAAACTCTGTTTTTCGAGATATATCAACGGAAACGATCAGTGTCCAGACAGAACAGTACAGTCGCGTGAACTTCAGTGGTTGTTTTACAATAATGCGGATAGTCTTGATAGTATTTGAAACAATTTAATCAGGAAAATGGAAGATTTCTTACTAAATACCTTATTAGGCAGATGAATTGTTTAGACGAGACGAATACACTCAACGGCGGGCGCAAGTCTATTCAGATTTTCCTTTGCCTTCGACAAAGCTTCTATAGGCCTTTTCACGCCGGCTGGAATTTTCGTCTCATTTGAAGGCGTATCACTAATGCTAAATTACGGTGACGAAATCAGAATAGTGCCAAAGTTATAACAGAAATGTTGTTTTTCTTCTAATGATTCTCACAACACGAAAAATTATGTTACAGGGTAATCGGGGAGGATTTCCTTGCGATATTGCTGCCTTTGATTACTACGCCGGATGTGTTGCTATTGGAACTAGCAGTGGAAATGTCACATTTTACGGATACAACGGTGCTTCATGGACAACCAACGTGGGAAGTTCCAGCACTGAAAGAATCAAAATCGAGCATATCTATCTCATCTCTACAAACTTTGCACTAGTACTATGTCGAGGGCCTGTGATCATCCCATTACATATGAAAGGTAATAAAATATTCGCTTTCAAATTGAAACGTATTATTTTCAGACGGTGTCATTACACCGAAGGACGAGTTCAGATTTGGCGAAAATACAAAGCACAAATGGAATCAGAGTACACACGTCCAAAAGCTGTCGGAAGACGCTTATGCGTTGATTTTTGGTGAGGTTCGGTTTTATTTTAGTTTAATGTGTTTTTTTAGCTATCAACAACACCGTCTATCGGATCAAATCCAAAACAGTGAAATTGGAAGTGTTGATCAACAATGATGACTATGAGAAATGGGTTCCGAACGACACAGAACTCTCAAGTATCACAACTTTTCCCGAGAAATCGAATGTGATCATGCTCATTTTTGAGAACGGTACCGTCTGCGTCTTCAATGAATCTCAATACGTGATGCAAACTACTTTGAAAAATTTTGAAGATGAGGCGATTCAGGTATGTTAGTAACCACTTTTCAAATGACTACTCAGACGAGATGAAAACTTCCGTCGCCTTGAAAAAACTAAAAAGGCCTCGTCGGCAGCATGCCGGGAGGTAATGTCAGTGTGATGAAAAGTTAGCGATAGAATACTCTAAGCTTCGTTATAAAACCAATGAAAATAGAAACACCAGCTGGACTCCAGCTTGAGAGAAGTACATAATGATACGGAGCGGACCGTTGAAATATGTTCATCTGTGTGCTTTTCCAAACCAAGATTTCTCAGTGGCTCACACAAAAAACCATTTGTTTTGGTGAACTCCCTGGATAATTTTTACAATGGGATAATGTATCTACCTGATCAACCAAATCTTCATTCTTGTTTTTTTTTCAGAAATTGCATTGGAGTTCTGAAAACAAAAAGAACATCGCCTATGGTATCTCATGCAACAACCTATACACGAAATGGGAGTTCACTGTTGGAAAAGACTGTCACATCAACGGCACCGAAGTGAACGTATTCAGCCAGTACCATTCCGGCCCGTATCCTTGTCACCAGATTAAACACTTTGGAGTATGTTCGGATGTTTCGTAAGTTTTAGAAAATTGTGGAACGAAAAATCAAAATTAACTTTTACAGGAAAAACAAAGATAACTTTTTAGTGTATCAAGGCGGAAAGAGCTCTGGAAAGTACGACGACAGGGACCTAGTCACAGTAGTTCGAGGAGACGCGGTCGAGAAGTTTGAGTTGTCTTCCGAGATTGTCGGGATCGTCGCTGTTGATGGGAGCTATGGTAGGTAGAATACAAGCTGGACGCGAATCCTGTTATGTTTTAGAGAAAAATAAAAAGAACGGTGTCATTTTAATTTGCACCAGCTGTGAAATAATTGGAATTGATCTGGATACGGAATCGTTGAGCATGATGCAACCCAAATATTTTCTTTCGATTAACAATAGCACTCCGACTACGCATGCAAAGTCTATTGAAATCGAGGAAAACGTTTGGAATCGCTTAGAAGCAGTGAGTTTCTATTTTCTTGAAAAATGTACAATTCTTTCTCAGGCAAGCAAATCGTACTGGGAGGCTCACAATATGTCTACAAGAAAGTGGCCACTATACTTTCAGCAGAAAATTGTTAACGAAGCTAACCATCAACGGACCGCCTATCGACAGGTGTTTTGTCTGGTCATTCAAACGGAAACATTTGCATTTGGGCATCTGGTGGAGTTGGAATGTTTCTTTTGCTGGTAATCAAGACATCTTTGGAGTTCGATGGCTCTCCATTCAATGTGAGTGGTGTATTTCAACAAAGGAACGTCCGAACCTTCTTTTACAGGCCGATCCAGAAGGACTCAGACAGAAGCCTGCTAAAAGAATCGGGTTCTACGATCCGTTTGACGATGATGAAGAAATGTGTTTGACGAAAGTACACTTTGATCCCAAGTCGGGTTTCGTGATTGCTTCAAATCGTGGAGGCTTCATTTTGATGTACGAGCTCTGTGACAATGCAAGAAAGTTATCGAACTGGGAAGCTATTCCGATTAGTTGCAACAATTCTCCTCCTGATAGCAGCAAGAGAAGACTATTGAAGGCAAGAAAGTCGGAGCTCGAATACAAGGCTGGATATCAGATTCGATTAAAAAATGACAGTGCATTACCGTGAGTTTTTTTTTAAACTTTGAGTGATTATTTCACAAAAACATTTCATCAGATAAATTGCCTTCCTTCGATGTCAATCATGTAATTTCCAGACTCGTCTTCTCAATGCACTCAAGTCACAGAGTCACTGATATTGCGTATCTGCACAAGTATCATTGTCTTGCTGTCGGTAGTAACTTTGGTGTGGCGATGTTGGACGTGAATCACGGATATATCGTCTACTCCAACTCTTTCAACGAGGAGCTTCGTGAGTTTTGCCGAATGCACGTAACAATACATTTTCGGCGTATTTCAGAAGAAACAAGCATTGTCACTCAAACTCAGTTTCAACGGTTCAAGAGTCTCAAGAAATCACTTCGAAAGACTTTCCGTCGTAAGAAGAAGACTCCCGATACCACTTTGATGTCGAACTCTGATGAAGGAACTCTCCGACATCACAATCAACAAATCACTAAAGTTGATGATTTCGACGAGGAAGGTTACATGGAAAGAGGAATCGAAGTCGGAGAAGGATTAGGTACCTTGACATTAGATTGTTATGCCGAAAGTAAGTAAAGTAATCTGGAAACATTAAAAATCAAATATTTGCAGATTCCAAAGGTACAGTCTCATGCATCCGAACAATGCGCTTCCCGATTGTCGATGACAAGAATGTCGATGATATCATTGCTGTGGGTCTTCAGGAAGGTGGTGTTTACTTCTTTGCTATCAACGAACACGATGCCGGTTTGCGTATGACTTTCAAAGCTGAATTCGTGAAAAAAATTGGAATGGCTCATAAACAGCCAGTTATCAATGTGGATATCACGAACGAAGAGGGATACGTGAGTATAAATGGGGTAAACATTTTATTATATAAATGATTATTTCCAGTTCTCAGCATCAACCAAGATTGTCATCATCACTGAAGAGCAATTGAGAGTTTACAACTGTCAGCCGATCTCTAAAAGGGAGAGTTATAAAATAACTGCGTTGGAAGGGATCAAGATTAAGGGCGGGATCGTCGCGAGAATTCTCAATAAGAAGAGTGAGTGGATAAAAATAACATTATCTGTTATCGATAACATGTAGTTGTTAATCAGCAAAAATTGAAAGCAAATTGATCGATTTTTAGACTCCAACAATTTTGAGTCGTTTGTGGTGTTGGTTGGAAACGACGGCAGTCTCCGCATTCATTCTGTCCAGAAGACGTCACTGTTCGAGACAAGGAAGTTCATCGATGTGAGTTGTTGATACAGCATGGGCGAATTATATATTTTTCAATCATGTACGACGAAACATTTTCAGCCGATTGACGTGATTGGTTTGAACTCGACTTGCTTGTCAAGAGATGGTGACGTTGCATACCTCATCAAATCGTCTGAGCTCCAACGTACCACCGTCAACTTGAACTTCCGTGGATGGAGCAGTGCCCACAAATCCTAAATGCCTATCAAAACACGTGTTAAGCCGTTGTTGTCATCTTGTCAAATTACTTCTGGTTTGAAAAATCGATTTCTTGTGAATGATTGAAATTTTAATTCAACTCGCTTTATATTGTCATATTTGTTTATTTTGCACTATGGACTTGTGAAGGTATCCGGTTTACAACTATCATAAATGCTTCCGGATTTTATCAGTTAATGTACGTATGTTAACACAGTTTTCACGGATTTATTAACAGACAAGAGTTAGCATATGATTTTTGGAATGTAGCTGTCGATTTTTCTTCAAAATGATATTACTTTCTTGCAATTGACGAATTACATCTGGTCTGAAATTGTAGTAAATTGAGATGTGAAATAAACGAAAAGTGGGAAGCCTACACTACTCACTTGTTGACCGGGTAACAGTGGCTCAACATGATGGTTAAATCGCTCCTTGAGTTTTGCTCCCAGCTTTTGACAAGTGATGACACAACCTCACTTGACACGAAACAAGTACCCAAGTCGATTGTCTCCACCGGCGAGCCTTGCAGAATTGCCCTAAAAGAATTGGATGATATGATACACACATGTTAGAGATTTAATATACTCATTTATCCGAATCAGTGTTTCATCAGTAACACCGTAATGAGAACCCTTTCCGTTGTTCCATAGACGCAGTGATGTGATACCTTGAATAACATATTTTACGAGATTGATGGAACTTTCAATTTTTACGTTTGGAAATGGGAAACAGTAAACGATCTGTTAACAAGTGGGATGGAGAACATTCTTCCAGCCCAAAGTCGGTCACGGTTTCAGCATTTTGTTTGACAAGATCCTCAAACTAGAAAAAGCAGTTTTTGAATTATGTCTAAAATTAGGAAGGTACCAAAAATATAGAATCCACCGAAAACTTGCTCCAAATAAAATACATTTGCTGTGGTTTCAAGTTCAGACTGAGGAGTAGACGTAAAACAGGACCAGATTCGACGGGAATCAAACCACGCACAAATAATGATTGGGTGGTAAGGTGACGGAGACGATTTCTCAAAACCTGAGAACACAAGAGTTATTACTCTTGTCCGAAATCAATGCACGTTGCGGCCGAAAAAAGAACGGTGGGCGGAGCTTAGCTCCCACAGTGAGAACCTTACTGTATTTTTCAAATTATTGCACGCGCCTTTAATACAGTACCTCAACATTTATCGAATTTTCTCAAATTTCTCTTATTTTTTCGCTTGTTTCTGTCTAATTTTGTGTAATTCTTATAAATCTTTAATTTATTTCTCTTGTAAAATAGAAAAAAAACAGCCAAATAGGGCCCAAAATAAAAAACGTCCGAGTTACGGTATTTAAAGGCGCATGCATCAATTTGTTTTTTGGCTGTGCGACCGACGATGCGATTTTGAGTAAATTTTCGGCCGCAACGTGCATTGATTTCGGACGAGAGTAATACAATGTTGGATTTGTCAAGCCTACTTGTAGTGGAGGTAATGGATGCCGTATTGGACATTTTTTCTCGTCGATTGGGTACAGAACCACTTCACCTTCATCAAATAATACTCGAATCTAATAAAAATTGGTTGCAGTTACTTTCACTTTATGGTACCTGGTCAGTTTTTGTAGTTGCAAGTTCTGAATAATTTTCACATATCGTCGTGTTCCATTTCCAACATACCAGTTTGCAAGTCAACAAATCCTCAACTTCCAAATGTCTAAACACGTTGAGAAGTATGGGGCATGCAAAATCCTATAAGTGAAAAAATTACTTCTCACTTCTAGTTTTAACGTTTCAAACCTGAACCACGGGTTGCATAACAGCCACCATCTCTTTTTTGTTTTGATGGTACCATGTTTTCTTTTGGTTGAAGAAATACGGAAGACAATAGTGTATTATAGTTGCGAGAAGTTCGAAAAACTTGTTGACGAAGAGATAAAGCTTGAAACGTGTTGTAGAAAGATTTCTGAAAAAAAAACATTGATGACTGCTTTGTTTCCTTTTCACTTACGATTCGTTAGCTTTTAAGCTACTGGGGTCTTTTTCAAGTTCGCAAATTGAAAGTCGCCCGCTTCCGTATGCCTGAAATAAAGAAAAGTTGAAAGTGTCCAACAAATCTAATAACCAAAATACCCTGAAGTTGTTACCAAACAATCGTTTTGGTTTCCCTTGAGCAGCAACGGTGACACTGATCATCGTTGAGAACTAATCTCTGCAAAATTTTACATTTAAAGTGTTCGATGAACTAAATAGATCCCTGCTCACTCACTAATTGCTCTCGGCAAGAAGAACTCCTTACAGAGTTAAAAAGCAAAGCACGACGACATGAGAAAGCCAACAGAACGGAAGCAGGCCGAGTGTGTTAGCGTGTGAGAGAGCAGACTTTCAATCAATAGGAAGAAGCCAGAAGAGCCGTTTCTTGCACCCTCTCGCCCCTTCTCGTGCTCTCACACATTGACATACGTATTATGTTACAATTCAGCTACATTCAAAATTAGGACACGCAATATTTGAAAGAGCTGCAAGCTTCTGTGGAATAAAAAAACACAATGAAATGAAAACGGGCTCAGATTTGATTAAAAGTGATTCTATTCGCGATGTGCTTGTCATATTTTATATTTTTGAACCACAAAGATTATATTCAAAATAAATAATTTCGTTGAAAAAAAATGTTTCTGGCCATTTTGAATATTCTAGTAGGCATTGAAAAAAAAACTTTTTCTAGAAATTTTGCTAAGAGAATACCCACGGGAAGTTATATTCATGAGTAATCAGGAATACAGCGGCGCTACCCGCTGAGCTATGCGTGCACAAAGCTGACAGCCGAAAATGGTTGTTATATCATCTCCTTCAAACAATTTTATAAGCGACGATTTGGAAACAACAAAAAATTATGTATTACGTGTTTCGCAAACATTTAAATAATTAAATTTCCGTTAAGAATTTGTTCGGGTTAATTTTTTCTCAGTGTCAATTTCAAAAAAAAAAAGAAAATTATTATAGAAATGACAAATGCTCTCAACAATCACACAACAATAGATATTTTTGAACTTCTGGAAATGATTAAAGGCAACACTGCATTGCTGAAAATAAAAACGTGGTGGAATCTGGAATAACAGACAGTTTTTTTTATTTTCAGAAGTTTTAAAACATCTGAAAAGTTCAACTTCATATGAAAATTTTCAGTGGCGGATCGGAAGTTCATAAAGTTATCAATTACCGCAACAACACTCTACTTTCATCAAGTTTCATGTTTCTCTTCAAACCTCATCTGTTATATTATCATAATGAACTTGTCAGTTCCATATCAATCTATCTGCGAACATATTAGAATCATTTTTTGTGTTCAGTGTTTCACAAACAATCAATCCTCACTTAGCAAGTACCTCTTTGAGAATGAACAATGTTATCACTATTTGAAAAAGTTCGTGTTTTCTCATCCCTCAAATCAATGAACCCGCTAAGAGGCGAATGATTTGACGGTAGCTGCTTTCGGGAGTCATCCACAGTTCACATTTTGAGAGTCAATTCGTGCATCGGAGGCGTGTTTATTGTTTTGAGGGGAGAATTGGGTTGAAGAAAAACGAGAAGAAGTGGTGAAGGGGTATGGTCATTTGTGTTTGCTCATCAGCTCTGGTCACATTGTTTTACGCAACTACCTTTTTCCCAATACCGGCCTCCATTTCCCACCCTGCCGTTTTTGTTTGATTGCTGGTTAAATCTTCTCACGGACTAAGGCGCCCTGCGCGCGCGAGCAAACGAACGCGCTGATGGCCGAGGGGAGCGAGAGCCGCTTATTGTTTGATTCACAGTTTTGAGATCATCGACGCTACTATCGTGAGTTTTCGATTAATTGAAATTGGAACTCAGCCGGTATTTTTTTTCTGAGAACTGACGTTTACGTTTTTGCACTACCAGCAACCAGTATTCTCAAGTTGTCCCAAAGTGGGATAATGTTTGGACGTTTTGAAAGCCATTGCAAGCAAAAAACGTACACATTGGCAAAGTATTAGTTGTTCGAGTTTCTCTCGTTTTTCACGTTTTATGGTAGTAATGTCTCAGTTCTTTTGGAAATTTTTTTTCCTTAAGTTCCCACTTCATCAAAAGGTTCACAAAACTCTGAGGGCTACCATAAAACCTGTATTAGATGGGCCGGGCCTTTCATCATTCCAAGGAGGAGGGTCCTTCTATTAAAGTGAGTCCTTCTATTAGAGAGGCATTTCTATTTAAAAGCCGTTATATCACAGGGGCCCTTCTAATAGAGTTTTCACGGTAGATTCAGCGAGAGATGAAGTTTGACAGCAGGCGTGTATATTGTTAGTGATTGTGTGGTTGGCGTTTAATATTAAGTTCTAACTTGAAGATAATAAAAAACCGAAACTACTAATGAATTATCCACATAGAATTCTTCTTTCCGTATTTTTCGATACAGTTATGAAAATTCGACAATGATGACTAACTAAACGAATGAAAATATACTAACATGCAGCATGAGAAAATACAAACCTGTCAAACATTTAAGAACCTCTGTTAATTTCTAAAATAATTCTTTATCTGACTTCCTATAAATTTGTGTATTATTTTTGTATTATTAATTCGAAGTATTATTACAGCATCAGTTTGTATTATATAATTGTTCCAGAACTTAAAGCAAATAACTTTTGTCATTTGACAACGAAAACACATTGTAGTTCATTATGCCGCGTTCAAAGTAGCCTCCAGGAACTGGAAATTGCGTCCAAAGCTGTCAATTTTTCCAGGTTTTCCATGGACTCAAAACTTCGATTTCCATCGTTGTAGCTGTGTTTTTTTCCTCGACATCAATTCGAGGTCCAAAAAAAGAAATTTTCTTGTTAATTTACAGCGGACCTCGAAAAATTTTTTCCAGTTCCTGGAGTCTACTTTGAGCGCGGCATTAAAGGGGGACTCCGACCAAAAATTTTTATTGCATTAAAATGTGTTAAAAGTTATCTATTTTCCGAATATTATTGCGAAAAAATTCAAAAAAAATCCGAAATCCCCAAAAAACGGCGTTGAAAAGGAAGAAAATTCAAAAAAAGGTGCCGCCGGGGGACGAGGATTTTCAGTGAGAAATCTAGGCCACGGCAACGGGCGCCTTTCCTACGTGGCAATTTTTCCGGATTTTTTTCAATTTCA